TCAATTGTTCTCCGCAGATAAAGGCACTGTTTTGCAGATTTCCCCCCAGATCTGGGCCAGCTTTGTTAATGACCTGCCCACCCACCTGGGGCCCTTCCCAAGGTGGCCCACGAGAACTGCCCCACACCTTCGGGAGCCCAAATGCGTGACGCTGGACAATCCCAAGAGGGCTGACTTTTCGTTTGGCCGTTGGTCTCCACGAAGACGCAACCTGGAAGAGTTAGTGCCGCTTATTTTCCTAGAGGAGCTGAGGGTCAATTACCACAGTTCTTAAAATCTCACATTTTTTTTTCTCAGAAAAGACACATCTGAAGGTGAATCCGCAACATTTTTTCTGCGGAGAAAACAGGAGCTTGAGATCCCAGAGCTACCAGGGGTTCTTTCAACGCCAGCAGCAAGGCAGTTAAGCAAAAGCTGAATTAAAGTTTTCGGAATTTTGGCATTTTTTTCCCAGTAAGATAAGACCACCAGCTTTTACGGCACATACCAAAGGTACAGTGACAATTTTGATAGGCTCACGTTTAAATGAGATACACAGAAAACGGAGCCTGGGCAACGTGAAGGAGTCGAACTCGCAATGGCACACTTGTCTTGAAGAGCCGGGGCATTTTCTTGGAAAATGGTGCCTACATGTTCATAGGCTTTGCCATTGTCCTGGAAGAGAACATACTGTCCACTCCTGAGGCATTTTTAGGGACTGAAAGGTTCTGTGGAATCCCGACCAGGGCCTGGTAACTCGAAATGGCATTCCCTACCCATGAGAACTGCGGAAAGGGCCATTTTAAGTCAGGCCAAGTGGGTGGGGAGGCCTGTGGCGGGTTTTTTGTACAGGTCCCAAGGGAACCCCAAACCCAAAAAGCACACGCCAACTTCAGAGGGGAATGCCCAGGAAGAACTTCTTCGCTTCCGTTTTTTAAACAATGTTGCGCTCAACCGCCACGACCTACATTCCCCCGCGAGGCGCCCAGAGTTGAGGAATAACAAGGGAGTTTAAAGTACACAACAGTTCGGCAGCCTGTAGTCTGCGCTTTGCTGCGCTCCACGGGGGTTCGCATCCGGCCGCCATGTTCACGACTCGAGAGCGGCCCCAAAACTAGCCCCCCTTCCCACATCCTTCTCCTCTCCTCTCTTCCCTCCCAGCTGAAACGAGGCCGCGGCGCTGCAAAGCCGCTTTCAACTCAACCCCCTCCCCTCCTCGCAGCAAAATCCGACTCGACGGCTGAGAGGTGTGCGCCTGCGCGCGGCGCGGGAGTGGGGGTGGGTGTGGGAGGCCTACGGGCCCCCGGCCGCGGCTTGAAAAGGCCGGAGCCACGGGGAAGCGGGGGAGGGGTTGGGGCCCCGGCCGGAGCCTCCTCTTTCCTCCCAGCGGGTCCTCGCTCCGGCCCTGGCCCGGCTCTCACACGTGCGCGCTAAAAACCCACTTCAAAGTCTGTTCCCGGCACGGGGGCGGCCCCTTTTGCGCCAGCCCCTGGGCACCCGCGCAGGCCGGAGGCCCCGGGCCTCGCCGCCCCCTCTATCGCAGGCGCGGCAAAGAGGCCGGAGGATCCAACCGAGAGAGGACGTTCTCTGAAGAGCCCGGGGAGCCGCAAGCGGCCTTCGGGTGGACGAGTACCTCCCTGCCCCCCACCCCCACCGCTTTAGAAAATTGAATTGAACACAAAGTTTGCGGCCAGCGCTACGCACTGGCCTTCGGAGCTCACCATTGTTTGGGCTCGTATTGACCCCAGGTCCGGATTAGGCAGCGGCTGATTCCTGCTTTACAGCCCCGCCGGCCTAATGAGGCCGAGAGGCGATGGGGCGCGAAGCGTCCTCGGAGCCCGGGCGACCGCGGGCTTACGGCCGCCGAGGGCCCTGTAGGTGGAGGTCAAAGGGTCAGCGGGCAGAGACCGCAAGAGAATTGACCCTAGGAAATGAGGTCCCTTCCCTCCCTCCCCAGCCTCGACAGAGACTTGCAAGAACGACTGTGGATAGGGAGCCTGGGCGCCCCGATGAGGGCTCCCGAGGACAGCTGAGCTGGAGCCCCAACTTCCGAAACGCCTGGCTTCTCCGCCCTCTCCCCGGCCCTGGCCAAGGATCCACTGGAGACTTGTGACTCGAGGGACAGAAACCTCTGAGAGGAAACCAGTCTGGGTGCCTGGAGAAACCCACTCTTCGGGTGATGGGCAGGCCGCTAGAGATTCTTCCACAAACTTACTTGTTGAGAGGCCCTTCGACTTTGCTCCTCTGTTTTAGGGAGGTCTTTTTAGAAGAGGGAGAGAGAGCCAGGCGAAGAGGCAGAAACCAGGCAGGGAGAAGGGGGAGGGGCGAGGAAGTTCTGAACACTCCAACTTTCCTGGGAGGCTTTGTGAGCGGAGGTCCCTGCTCACTCTTGTCCAACCTTAGTAATTTAGACCGACTGACCTGCTTAGCATGGACCCTGTTCGGATCTTTAACCTTCCCAAGCTACATGAGGGCCAGACTTCCCTCTTGCGCGGAAATAGCCACCTCCATTTTGCCTACCTGATAGTGGGAATGTTCTTATGCTAAATCACTCATTTTGAAAAAGATAAGGGACTTTGAACAAAGATCTTAAAAGGTGCAAGAGGGAAAGTAACAAGTGGATTATTAAGAGCCTGGCCCCTGCCTCTGGCTTGAGTATTTAGGATTTTTTTTTTTTGAGGGGGGGGTTACTTTTTCTCTAAGGTTGTTTACTGAATATTCAAGAATGTAAATGTGCACTCCCAGAGCCAGATTATTGATGAGGGGGAGGAATCTGTGAAGAGTTTTATATTAAAGTAAGTTTTGTTTACCACAAATGACAAGGCCTATGGAAGACATGATTTTGAGAAATATGATTCTACACCCAAATTAGAGGTAATCCTGTAGAGGAGCAACGCTTTTTATATTCTTTTAATATTGGTTATCATAATTGTTTTCCATTGAATTGGTATCTTCCCCTCTTAGGAAACTCACAATGTCCATAAAATTATTCCAACATAAAATTTTTCTTATAAAATTTTATGGTGGAATAATTTCAAGTAACTAAGAAAAGATCAAACTGCTCTTTGTCTCTAAACAGATATTTAACACATTTAATTGAAGTGGAAGCAAGTTTTTGGTTGAATCTTGTACCCCAACCTCACGGCTCCACTTCCATTTAAAGTTAGCTTACATTGGCGGTGGTGGAGGGAATTCACGGAGAAAGTAGTAAATTATGGAAGTTCATTGTACAGTTCAGAAGAAAAATACACTATTTAGACTTCACAATGAAACACACTTAGAGCCAGTCTTATGAATATATAGTTTCTGAGAACTTGTTGAGCATTTAAAATGGTCTCTCTGGTTTGAGGTGAAGGAAAAAGCCTGAAATAGGAATCTGGTCCAGCACCCTCAATGTCAAGGTCAAGATCGGAATGTCTGGGTTGGGAGTGATAGACTGACCAGTTACCTGCTTGTCACATGTGTAGTCATCCCAATCTCTGTTCATGGCATTCAGGCTTGGATATTGGTGGAAGAAAATGCAAAAGACCCCATTATTCTCCACTAACAACAACAACAAAAAAAGCCTCCAAAGCAATTTGTAATTAGAAACTGTCAATAATTGTCTGTTGACAAAGAACAGTAGATAACTTAAATAGACTGCTTCAACTGCATTCACAGAATCAAAGTTTCTTTTAATCATCAGAAGTTCTGTAAGCATTTCAATTTTAGGTTGATTTATTTGAACATTAAAAAAAAATCAGGCACCAAATACAAAAATGTTGTAACATAAATAAGATGTGCCAAGTCTTTATTTCTTCAAAAAGAACAATAAACAAAATTCTAAAATTGAAAATGATTATATATAATACCAAATTGACTGCCACCAAAAACCTAGAGCATTGCCCCTTAAAGAGAAGAAAGTACTTAAGCCTATTCAATACATTTCTAAATACTTTACAATTCCTTATCTCCACCTTTCTGTTGTTCATGCAGATTGGGCTCTCAATAACAAACAACACCCTAATAAAAAAGGTCTCAATCCTCTACCCACTCCAGCCCCCCAAAATAGCAATCACTTTCTTTTCCATATAACCATTGTAAAAGAACTGTTTGTCCAAATGAGTTGCTTCACTGCAGATTAAATGGATGGTTAACATTTTATCACAAAGCAAACAACCGTTTTTCATTGTTATCGATTTTAATGGAAACAATGCTCTTAACATTTTTGCCTACAAATCGTGAACTTTAAAAATACATATTTTGCAATTTTTTTCCATAGCATCATTTCAGAACTGCTGCAGTTATTACACCGCTATATAAATGTTATGGATAACTGTGATAATTACGAATTGAACTATATACAGCAAACAAATCACCCATTGCCTTCCAAAATTGTAAATGGACTATGGTTCTTTTAAGAAGCACTTTAACCATAAGTAAGCAATGCTCAACTGGCTTTACTTATCACCACTGTTTCAGACATAAGCTATCTTTTGAAAATATATAGATAGCTACTAGATAGATTTGATAGGCAGATTAGATAAGTCATAGATACAAACATATACAGGTATATGGGTGATCTCTAGATAGAACAGACAGACATGCATCCTGCCGCAATTTTCATTTTTTATGTAAGGTAATAAAGAACTAAGGGACATAAAATTCATTAGGTTACCTTATGTTTATATATGTAGGGCAGGGATGATTAAATCCAGCTTCTCAGTCTTTGAAGTACAAGATTGAGATGTCATGGCCACTAACTGAATTGATCAGTAATATTTGATTTGCATGCCGAAAATCCAGGACAAACACATTTTAACTTGAAGTTAAACAACCATCTGAGATAGAGATAAAGAAAGGAGGGTCTTCCCAGATGGAAACTGACACTGTAAGGAATTTATACTGTAATAGAAAAATAATTTAACAATTAAAAAAGGGATCTGAGTGAGTTAAAAATACCAACAAACAAGATTTAATTTGCTCACATCTGCTCTTTGTAGAAGGCTGTTACAAAACAAGAGAAAGGAGTCAGTGGTTCAAAAATTGTAAATTGTGTTCTTCTTTCAAAACAATAAATTTTTAATGCTAAAGCAGTTATAATCAAAAGCTGTACAGAATTTGTTAGAAAACATTTATCCATAAATATTGTTCAGTTCCCGGCACTTGTAGAAATAATTAAATTACAAACGATAAATATGGCATCAATGGATATGTATTTACAAAAAAAAGTTATTACAAAAGGCAACTGTATACTAAACGTCACAATCTGTGTAGAGTAACATCACATCCTCAGCCTGAAAAAATACTGAACAACAGTTTCGACCCCATTAGACAAAAATACATTCACAAGTGTAATGCTTTGAGGAAAAGTTCAAGACATAACAGGACTTTGGCACGGTTTAAGACTGTGAGAGTTTAAACAATCACCACTAAGGCGAAAAAGAATTTCCATCAGTTTAACATCACCACCACCAACAAGCCTTCTATAACTTCCTCTCAAGAAACAGGATAAGTGTTAAAATGAATTGCAGGAGTTTAGGAATGGGGTGTGCAGAGAGCAAGAGGAAGGGGAAGAAAAAGCAGTGTTAAGATTTTGTAAAAAATCCTTCAAACGCCAAAACATATTTTCTAATCCTGAGAAAAGGGCATGGCTACTTTTGGATCTTGCCCAAAACCTTCCTGGACAATTGCAATTAACAAGATGTAGCCCTATATATGGCCTCTTGCCTTAAAACTCCATTTCCATCTGATTGGTCTCAGTTTTCTTTTAAAAATGCATTTGGTCCATTCTATAGTTAACAGGGTTTGTATTTGTCCTCAGACGTACCATTCGTTAAAATTAGGAGGAAGTCCAGGGTTGTGGCTGGTGCTAGTTTGAACTGCAGAAGGGGTTTTAGTGGTATCTTTACTGTTTGCAGAAGCTATAGCGGGTGGAGTGGAAGATTCATAGCCTGAACTGGCAGCAGGGGAGGAATCTGACCCTTGAGATTCATGAACCTAAAATTAACATGTATATATTATAATGAATATAATTCCAACTGGCAATGTGCAAGCAAAAACAAGAGCAGAATTCGAGTACTGTAAGACCGCCCAGTGACCCACTTAAAAGAAAAATGCTGCTTTAAAAAAAAAAAAAAAAAAATCCATATTACCGATGTCTAGAAAACCCGGAGATGTTCGCCAAAAAACAGTTTCGGCCCTAAGATTGGTATTACGGAAAAGGAATAAAGCACTCCGTTTTGTTCAGGCCACTTCAAAAATGCTTTCTCCGCAGATGGAGTGGGGTAAGCAGTTACTCTGTGGGGTCCTATAAAATACTCACTCCGGGCCCAGGTTTCACCAAGCCCGTTTCGGCTTGGGAAAGCAGGTACAGAGAAGGTGGCACAGGGGCCCTGAGCGCTGCAAAGTCGCAGACAAATGTGTGGGAATCAGATTGCACTCCTCGGCCCTATTGTTTTATCAGAAGCCAAAGAGCGAATGAACCACACACCCCCCGGGTTCGGCGCGCGGCTACTCTCTCCGTTCCCACTACGAGCTGAGTCGGAAAGAGGCTGCCAAAGCAGCCTCAAGCCCAGGCGAGCTCGGTTAGAGCTTCCTAGTAAACAACCGATTGTTCCCTCCGCTTCCTCCCCCTCCCAACTCTGCTCACTCTCGCCCCACCCCCGCCCGGTCCCCAAAATGGGTTCAAGGTGTCACTGCTGGAGCAAATCGGATTTAACGTGGAGGATAGAGGGTTGGCAGCGCGGGCGCTTCCGTTCTGCGGCCCCGCGTCGGACCGAGTGTTTACAAACCGCCGACCGCTAATAAAGAGGTAATTACCTTCATGTGTTTGCGGAGGGAGCTCGGGTGCGTGTAGGACTTGTCGCACACTTTGCAGATATAGGGCTTGTCCGAGGTGTGCACATGCATGTGCTTCTTACGGTCGCTGCTGTTGGCAAAGCGTCTGTCACAGCCTTCAAATTCACATTTGAAAGGTTTCTCACCTGAAAAAGGCAAAAACGCAGGAGGGGTAAAATACGGTCAGCGCCGGAGTTTCCCAGAGGCAAGCAGCAGGAGACTGAGCTCCCTGCCGTCTTCCGGGAAAGGGAGCACCGACTGGGGGCTGCTGTGGCATCTATTTTCCCAGGAGAGAAATGAAGAGCGTTGGTTGAGCCCGCTGGGTTTGGGAGTGGTGGTCGGGGCGGGGGTGGGGCAGAGACGACCCAGAACCTGACCATGTCTTTGTTCTTGCAAGGAGGGAAAGCCCCTGGCTCCTCCGAAGTTTCCCCTAAGTTGTGGTTCCACCCCACCACACCCAGGGCTCCCAATGCGGGGCCACGTTCTGCCACCACCTCGGCGACGTAACCGAGCTCGGCGGGACAATGGGCCCCGAACAGGACAATCCCGTTCAGCCTCTTCTTTGTACCTTTTAATTTGCCTCTTTCAAATGCAGCGGTTTGGCTAAGCCCGGTATTAAAAAGCCTGGCTAGTCGTACTAATGTTTGAGGGGGGAAAAAACCCAACAAACTATATAAATCCAGGGGGCTCCAGACAGTTTTACAAGATGTTCTGAACAAGCCACGAAACTGTGGTGCCTTTTCTACTTTAGCTTTCCTCCCGGAGGACTAAATTGAACCTGGAACTCCAAATAAAAATAGTTTGACAAAAGTATCAGTCATTTAATTAGGAGATGTGCCAATCAAGTGTAAAAAAGAGCGGAAGTAACCGAAAGTTAGTTTTCATTAGCATTTCTATGGTTGCCTTCCACGAATGTGTGCCGAGAGCTAAGTCGCTTGTAAGCAATATGCTCTCAACACATTCGGAGTCCCTTCACGGTAACCCAGCAAGGGAGACAAAAAGAGGCGGCGCCAGTTTGTTCCTGGGCGCGAGAAGGTCCCAATTAGTTCTTAAGACCGCAGAGCAGTCTGCCTGGGAAGTTAGAACTCAGCAAAGGCGCCACGGGACGGGAAGGGCTAGGGGTGGAGGGGCATGGGCAGCGCTTCTTTTTCGAACGGCCTTGGCGGGGCGTCGCCCCTTTCCTTGGCCGCCACCTCTCCCTCTCGCTGCAAGTCCGCTGGATGACGGAGTATCGTCAGTGGAACCCACGCCCGCCTGCTTTTCCCTTTACCTGTGTGGGTCCTCTTGTGAATCTTGAGGTTCTCAGAGCGGGCAAAGATCTTCCCGCAGCCCGGGAAGGGGCATGGGAAGGGCTTCTCGCCCGTATGCACTCGGATGTGGTTGACCAGTTTGTACTTCGCCTTGAAGGACTTGCCCTCCCGGGGGCACTCCTCCCAGTAGCAGACGTGGTTGTTCTGCTCCGGGCCCCCCACATGCTCCATGGTGACGTGTGTCACCAGCTCATGCATGGTGCTGAAGGTCCGGTCGCAGCTTTTCTTGGGCCGGCTCAGCTGAGCCTCGTCGATCCACTTGCACGACAGCTCCTGCTTGATGGGCTGCCGCATGTAACGGAAGAAGGCGCCGGGCCCGTGGTGGGCCGCTACGTTCACGCCCATGTTCATGTTCATGGGGCTGTAGTTAGGAAACTGCGCGCTGGCCGCGTAGGGGTCCGTGCGCGGGCTGGCCACTGGGCGGTATGGGTCAGCACGGCCAAACAGCTCCCCACGCAGCCCCAGGTGGACCTGGTTGTTGTCCACGTGCCCTGTGGGCGACGGATGCCCAGCACCCTGTTCATGCAGCCCGGGAAAAAGCAAGTAGCCAGGGGGCTCAGGGATGCCAGCTGGAGCATGCAGGCTGCTCGCCGAGCCGGCGAAGAGCCCGTGCTGCCCGCCACCCGAGGCCGCCTCAGTGAGCCCGGAGCTGCGCTGGCGGAACAGAAAGTCGCGCGTTGAGTTGAAGGCGGCAGAGGCAGCGCCGCCGTAGCTGGGCACCTGGCTGGCGTGGTGATGATGGTGATGGTGGTGGTGATGGTGGCCCAGGGCGTTGGCGTAGCCCGAACCCTGCGGCGTGAAAGCCGAGGTCTGGCCGGAAGATAGATCGTGCGCTGCAGCAGGGCTCAGCTTGAAGGCAGCGGCTGCGGCGGCGGCGGCGGCGGCGTGGGTTGAGTCCCCGAAGGGATTCAGCCCCATGCCTGCCGGCTCACGGTTGGGCATCTCGTGGTGGCGCGGCGCACCGAAGCTGCCCACTCCCAGCCCGGGGAACTGCGGGCCTCCGTCCAGGAGCATCGTCATGGGTGGGACGTTCTGGGCACAGACGATCCGGCCGAAGTGAGAGAGGGTACCGGCGAAGGAGGAGATCTCCGAAGTGCCGTTGTCGGAGAGGGGCGGCGGCGGTAGGACACTGCCGGGAGACCCCCAAGTCGATACCGAGGGCTGCAACTTTCCGTCGCTGCGAGAGTCTCCTGCAGAGGGATAGGAGGGAGGAGGGGAAGAAAGAGCAGGGAGGGGGTGTCGGGGGGAAAGAGGAGGGAGGAGAAAAGACTCTGGGACTAGATCTGGTTTAACAAACTAACAGGCGCGCACAAAGAAAAATAAGCAAAATAGTAAGTGGAGGGCGGAGTTTGCCAATCCTGTCCCAGGCAGCACCCCTCCTCTTCCCCAGTGCACAGAACCGCGGGGCCAGGAGGCTCCCTGGGTACCGGCCTCCGGGCTGGGCTGCGCCAAGTGGCGGAGCCGGCTAGAGGCCGGCAGGCAGGCAGCGGACAGTAGGCAGGCTCGGTACTCGCCGCTCGCCGCGCGAGTCCCAGCCTCTTCGCCTCCAGAGTAATGTCCTTGGACTGATAAAGTCAATCACTCACTCCTCGCACATAAACCGAGCGGGAGGCCGCGCGGCGCGCGCCAATGGGGAGCCAGCTGGCCCGCGGTCACCTGACCCCCGGCCGGATTGTTGATTGGCCGCCGCCAGGGTGATTGACAGCGCGGAGTGGAGAACATGGCAGCCGCAGCCGAGCGACCCCCGCTGATTGGGCAGCCGCCGGGTGCTTGGCAGGTGAGGCGGCGGCTGCCCGGCGTCCGCGAGTGGGCTCCACCGGGCTTGAGCGGCTGCGGGGAACTGGGGCCAGGCTCCAGGCGGCAAACGGCCGGACGCCGCCGGGCCTCTCTCAGGCCTCCCCCCAACCCCTCGCGCGCTCCTTACCCGCTTTGGTCAAAGAACCTCTTTGCCCTTCGAGGATCCGTTCTACCGCTGCGCCGACGGAGGAGACGCGGCGCTCAACGTCCAGTCCCACTTGGGCCCCCGCTGCCTCACCACCTTGAGACCATGTTCCCTTTGTAGCTGCAGGGCGCAGATCCTGGGGAGAGCGCAGCAGTTCCACGCTCCCGGCCCAGCAGCTGCATCCACCCCCAAGCCACTGCGAGTGATGGCCTCGAGACCCCGGACCCAGGCCGGGATAGTTCGCCGTCTGTGCCCGCACGCTGCCGGCAGCTGTCCGAGACCCAAAGGAGAGGAAACGATTACAATTAGAGCTATCTCCCTTACTTCCTTCTGCGCCAAGCGTTGAAGCTTTAGTTTGTGAGCAGCGGCAGTACTCGCCGCTGCCCACTGCCCGAATGATACACCGGGCAGGACACAGCAAACATATACAAGGCAGTAAACACAAGCACACAGCAGGAAACAAGCACACAACACAGTAAACACAAGCGCACGACAGGAAACAAACACAATACGTGAAATATCCACACAACACAACAAAGTAAGCACATACAACACAGTAACATAAACTACACACAACACAGTAAACATAGGCACACAACTAAACACAACAGAGCAAATACACATAACAGCAAACATACAAAACCTGCAAAGAACACTTTTAGCCCATGTAGGCAAAACATGCACACAACACAGTAAACACGTAATAAACGACTAGACACACATAGTATCAGGGTGGTTTCCAAATCACTAGGCTAATAAGCTTTGAATTCTCAACATTTTCTAAACCAAAAGTCGTATGGCGAGAGGGTACTGATGCTCAATGGGGATTGTGAGATGGAATTTTCTTTCCTCTGAACAGCCATGGTTTTTACTCTCTTCTACCCGGAGAAGGTAAAGCGTGTAGTGACCTAAAGGACTGCTTACCCCTTAAGGATTTACTTCCAGGGGTGTGTGTGAAAGTGTTGCCCCCCCCCCCGCCTCTGTCTGGTGCGAGGTCTTTCTAGACATAATGACCAGGTTCAGACAAGGCTATAAATTCATTCATTTTTGTGTCCTGCAAGGCATTTGCAAAGAATGCATGAGAGTGAGAGTGGAAAAAAAGGCAGAGAAAAAGATGGCTGTGATTGTCACATCCCTAGCCGGGCCAAGCCCCAAAGTCTGAGCGTTGAGGCAGCCTCACAGCCTGGCCGCCATCTCTCTGTAGAAAACAGAACATCTGATCAAGTTCAGAGGCGCCAGGAGAGACCGCCTCAAGCAGCGTTTTATAACTGCAGCCTTTCGCTTCCTTCTCCCCAATCTGCCTGGCCCAGCCAACACTTCACCTTCTTTCTTAGGCAGTTTGCTGGGAGAAAACCCTACCGGTAGTACATCTTATGGTATTCACACCCTCCCATCAAACTCGCCCCAATTCTCTCTCCACATCCAGCGCTCTCTCCCCAGGTTGGAAGGTGAGTTCACTGTTGACTTAAATTACTGCGTCTACAGAACATAGGCTCTCCAAGAATGGTTTCAGTATCTCAGCAGAGGGTTTCTTTGGGGAACAGGGGGGCGCTGGCGTGTTCAGAGAACAAATATGCTTAAATCATGCAAATGAATCCCCTGGAGTCAATTTTACAAAAAAAGAGGATTGCCTTTCTTTCCCCCCCTCCTTTCTTTTCACTTTCTCCTTTATTTCCTCTCTTCCTTCTACCTCTCTTCACCTCCCACCAACCCCCACTGCCCTAGGCCAAATAGTTGGTTTGAAAAAGTTTGAATTTCCTCACTGAGCTGGTCCCGCGGACAGCGGTTCTTGAGACTGGGGGACCGGGAAGGGGCGACTGTCGAGCTCTGGCCGGGCCAGCGCTGATTCGAGAGTTTCCTGGGAGTCCCGCCAGGTACCCCGAGAATCGAGGGCCTTGCGCGATTGGAACCGGGTGAAGGGCTCAGAAGGGGGGCAGCCGAGGGAACCCTTCTTGCCATTTGGGGAGGGGTCTCGAGCTCAGGGCAGGGGGATGTTGCCGCCACTGACCTACCCGGTGCCCAGTGTCCGTTTTGATACGGCCACATTCCGATAATTAATTGCCTCCAGCACGTGCTCTGTAGTCCCTGGAACAAAAAGGCATAATTCAATTAGATCATCAACCGAGAAGTGGGGAGGTTGGGGGGGGTGCGGAGATGCTTGTTAAGGGACAGACCTGAGGCGATTCAGCAAGGCCCAAAGTCCGGGTAATGGAGCGCTTCGTGGAACAGCCGGGCCCATTCCGAGAGTGCGGCTCTGAGGGGGTGTCGTTGCTCTGTGGGACGCAGGGGTCCCAGATGCATGCAAAAGGACGAGGCTAGGGGCCTTTGTGAACAGCAGGGCAGAGGCAGGCCATTTCTAATTCGGTTTCAATTGGTTTGAGTGGATGTTTCCTTATTTGGGGAGGGCGAATCCTAACCCTTAAAAGAGGGTAGAAAGCGATATCCCTCCAGATAAAGCTAGTTACTGCACAGGAAAACAAAGCCCCCACCGCTAACAAAGCCCATCACTTCTGTTAGGGGGGAAAAAGCGCCAAGTTTTTCTTATGACTTAGAGCTTCTCTCGTCCCCAAACTTGATGCTCAGAGGAGACTCTGGGAACAACTTCGGGCAACAGGGACTTTGGGGAGCTGAGTCTGACAGCAGAGTGGTGGCAGAAGAGGGAAAGCAGAAAGGAGAAAAGTTTTTCCTACACACAGTCCGAGGCGAGGATGGAGAGAACTCTCGGGTTTTCGTTTTTCAGGTGAAAACAGGAGTCACAGCTTCAGGCAGGGAGGACAACTCGAACCCAGGGGTCGTGGTTCTTATTTTAACGCTATAACCGAGGCTCCCTCGGCAGCTTTGGCTTACTGAGGTTTACATGTGTATTAGGCAGCGTAAATTAACCAATAAATCTCTTTTATGCGTCCCCCAGTTGTATGTGGTCCGGTCTAAATATCCACGTTTGTATGGATAGGAAATATAATGGGATCCTATCCCTCACACTGAGTTCAAACGATAAATAGGAAAAAGATTTGTTTTTATGCCCAAATCTAAAGCAGTAAATAAAATCAGAGAAACTGATCATTTCTAGACCAGCAAAGCTTTTGAGCCCGATTTTTAGGATCCATCTTGAAGAAGCAGTAGGGAAACAGAGCGTCCTGAGGGGCAGTAGGGTAAGAACGGGTTCTTCGAACAACCCAGAGTCCCACTCCACAGCATTTTTCCTCTAGCCTTGGAAAAAACAGAGCATATACAGCACGTTGTGTTATCGTGCAGCATTTCTTTCTAAACACATTTTATGTGGTGGACACGAAATTATCCGGATTCGGTGACCTATTGATTTTCTTTAAGTCCAATGGAAACACTGAGGTCTTTTCTTCTGTTTTGTATTTAGAAAAGACTTGCAATCTAACACTCGCAACATTTTAAAGACCCTTTAAACCCAGCAAGCGGATTTCCGTTCTGCCAAGTCTTCCTGATTTATTTCAATAAATGAATCTCTGAATCCAGGAAGGGAATTATTCCAAGACGCTGAATTTGGTGCTCCTGTCTCTCTCTAGTGGAACATAAAGTGTTTCTCATTGCCACATGTCCTTGAAACTCACCATTATTCGCCTTTAAAACCTGGTAAATGACACTTTCTTTACATAAATCCCCACCCTCTCTTCAGAGTTCCAGATCTTTTTAAAAGAAAAACTGCAAGTGGCAATAAAAAATGAAGGGGGAAGAAAGCTGGGAAAAGAATGCATTTTTAACTTCTTTTTATTTTAATGCTAAGATAAAGCCCTTAATTGGCTTCAGGGGCCAAGCTGAACTATCGATCTCCAGGACCTGCCAACACACTCACCTACCGAGTGTGTCCGCAGGTTGGTGAGTGGAAAATCACAGAGCTCCAGGTTTTATTGGCCACGTCAGAATTTTCACTATGGTCCCATCATTTGACACATATTTTATAAGCCCTAAATACCCTTAAAATTAAATCAAGAATGAACAGATATTAATCAACCTTTTTTTCTTTTTTTCTTTTTTTTTTTCTTTTTTTTTTTTTTTTTTGCCTTTGTCCTCTGAAATCCAAGGCATATTGTTGCCCAATGTAATGAAATGCAAACCAGATGGGAGTGAGACATTTTCATTGTACTTGTCAATCAGGGCTATGCAGACAGATATATATACTTGAACTTCAGAGGCATAGGCTAAAGTAAATAGGACTGAACTTAAGGAAGACAGGCAGGGAGTTGAACAAGAGCTATCAGAATCTGGTTTGGGATCACAAAGGGAGTCTCTGAAATATAGAAAATGCAGTGAACCCCCCCCCCCAACCGCCCCATTCAGGTGGTGGGCAGCGGTCCTCAGGCAATCTGAGTGAAAGGCTTATGATGAGTTGTGGCCTGCTAGGTCCTGCTGCCACGGAATACCTTTGCCGCTGTGGGGGTGACCAGATGTTAGCCCCCAGCTACACTAGCTGTGGCTTCAGGTGCCAGAAGAGCAAGTCACATTGAAAGAGGACTTCTTCCTTCCTTCTAGATCAGAACATCTTGTAGATGGGGAGCGCCCAGGCAAGAGGAGAGGGAGATGCAGGCAGAGGCCGAGATATATAATGACACATTTGATTAAGGGTTGCAAGTCCTTCCCCAGACACCTAAAGAGAT